ATGTGGGATGTCTATCTACAGCAAGCAGACCCTTTCCTAATTTTCTTCCTCATGTTAGTCATTCTAGTTAATTCAAAGTGAGTACAAAATTATTTTTAAACACATCTGTCAAGGCAAGCTTTCAAACCTTCAGTGCTATTGTTCGAAAACATGTTTGATATAATATGTAGATAGTTTGCGTATGAATGTGTTTGATATAATCCTTGCAGTAATCCTGCATCTACCAACCTTCAACCAACTTTACAGCTTTTAATTTTCTTTTAAAAAGTGAGTATCCGATTCTGGGTAAATAAATCCAAGAATAACTTGCATTTATATAGTGCCCTCACATGGAGTAGCATCTCAGAGCCCTAAACAATAATCTAGTTTGGCATTGAGCTGGGGGGAAAGGAAAGGTGACCATAGGCACAGTTGAAGAGGAAAGCCTTCAAGTGCGATTTGAAGACGGACAAAAAGGGGCAAGGCAGACATATTGAGGCAGGGAACTCCAGAGGTTCAGGCCTGAAAGCATGTCCATGGTAAATTGCTCTTCTTAGTTTGCAACCCCTAAAAAAAATTTACTAAATTTTTCGCTTTGAATTTTGTGTATGAACATTACTTTATTTGCTTTGGATAATTTTTCTATTCTTTTCTCAGTTGAATGGCTCAAGTTTGATTCACATAAAAATAAAACATTTGGAGAATGTTAACATTCCAGTCACATATTCGGTCTGGTCTCTGTGAAGAATTCAGAACTTGCATTTGGAAGAACCCCGACAACCTATAAGGAGCAATCTATTTTAGTTAATACAGTAATAATCAGGCTTATGTCGAGTATAAACTGACATGGACTAGTTGTGATCAATGGCCTGTTTCTGTGCTGTACAATCTGCAAATCCTTGCATTTGACACAGTACCCTATAAACCTCGAATATCTTTGAAGCACTTAAGAAAGTTTCTGTCGAGTTCAGTGTCTATTTGTAGTTGTATATTCGACAGTTATTGTTTTCCAACAGCCCAGCATAAGAATTGAGGTCCTGTACAACAATTGCTCTTCCTCTGCATCCAACCCCATCTTTGTAAAGCACTTTTGAGTTGTTATCCTACATGAAGAGCAGGATATAAATGCAAGATTCACAGAAAATACAATTAATCCACTTTACAATAGTGCTTTGAGACATCTCAATGATGTGATAAGGCACTATATCAAATGCAAGGATTGTTATTATTAAGTTACTTGTTTTGAAATATTTTAGAATTCTAAATCTAGTGCCACTCTAAATCATGTTGTGTTTTTTTTTCCTTCCCTTTCCTAGAGAGGTTTTATTGTCTCACGAAGTAGAAAATAAGGAAGAAATTATTCGTAAGTGTACTTAAATTACTTTTTATTTTGTAATCTTAAAGAGTTTAACATTTTATATGTATGGAGAATTTTTTAATAAGCAGAAGGTACTCAGCACTCTGTTATCTTAGTAAATAGGAGGTACCCGTTATTGCTTTTCAAGCCTAGGAATATAAAACTAGCAACCAAGATCCCAATATTACATTTCAGTCTGTAAGAAATTAGCAAAACATTGGATTAACTTTGTAAAATGTGAACAAATTTAACTGATGAAGTCATAATTCTAGTTTTTCATTAACAATTAAACCCCTATTTTTATTAATTAAACTTAAAGGCAATTGCATTTTATTTTGTGATTAATTGAAGGTCTCAGTTTGTAGATGTGTTTGCTGCTTTCATTCTTTAGCATCAGACTCGGCAGCAACTTCTCCTCTGATGAATAAGCTGCTGAGACTTAATGTCAAGGCTTAGCAGTAATAAGCACCACTTGTGCAAGATAGCAGGAGGTGTCAGTGAAACCATATTATAGTGCAAAGAACAATAATCCAAAATCAGTCCAGAAGAAAGGGAAGAGGAGAGAAAACTGGGAAGAGAATCTGTCAGTTTTCTCCATCTCCTAAATGAGGTTGAATTATTTCATTTTCCATTGGGATACAATTCTGTACTCTGTGGGAAAGAACCTGATTTTTATCAGGTAATAGCATCTGTGAGGTAAGACTGAAGAATTATTCGGTTGTTTTTGATTCTGGAGTTTTGCTTCAGTCCCAGTCCATGTGAACCTCGGCCATGCGGTTAATGTGAATTAAGGATCATTATGTGGCAGTCATCAGAAATGATCTGCAAATACTGACTGTAATATTCGTGAGAATTTCCTACCAGGAAGACTCGACCAGAACAATAACAGGGCAACTGTTTAATCTGGCTGCTTGCTTTTGAAAGAGTCATGTAACGCTGCCTGCGGTATTTCTGTCAGTGTAGGCCAGCTTTGTCTCACCAGTATACTGAGAGTAGATGGTTTATGTCATGGTCTGCTCATCAATGAGCTTGTAAAGCCTGTTGGAGCACACACAATGGATGGGGATGGCTGCAAATCAAAAGCAGCAGGAACAAAGCATGATGCACACCAACACCTTCCCCAGTGTACAGGTTTACACTGAATGGTGGCACAAAAAGAAACTTCGTTGCTCAAGTTTTGTGTTTGCTTGACTGTAAATGGCAGCTGTTCTTTGCTGCCTTTCTCTACCCTCCCCCCCCCCCACCCCCCATCCTCCCCTATTTTTCGCTGAGCAACCTAAATCAAAACAAGTTCCTACTTTTTTAGGAATTGTTTGAAATGGTTAGAGGTTAGTTATTGAATTAATAGACCAGTACAGCACCTATACTGCTGTTTCTGTGCTTTTTTAAAAAAAATGTTTCAAGCCAAAGATTTTTCATGCTTGTGAAAGAATCTCGGCAATGGCTCTGAGCAGTGGACTAATCTACTTATTCCTGAACGTCACTCTGAAATGTTTTTTAGTAGGTTTTTGTTTCGTAGATACTTGAGAAAATGCAAGTTGTGAGCAATTTCGAAGCAGTAAATGCCGTGGTCTAAATTTTAATTCTCCCTGGTTTTTCTGAACATCAATTGAAAGTATATTATATTTTTCGAAGTAGGAAATCAGGGAGGGAAATTAAAGACTGCCGTAGGCGAAACTGCCTTCAGGAGACATAGAGAATAAAATCGGAAACCAGCACACAAAGCAATTTCTGCAGGATTATTTTTAAACTTTCTGTTAACGCGGGTGTTAATGTGGTCTTTGAAAATTAAGGTGCAGATTTGAATTTACTTTGTTTCACAATTTTCCTGCATGTGAATGCATTTGAGTCTAGTGCAACATCTGTTTATATTTCAGGTTCACTTGAAAGTGCTCCAAGTAATTTGGAGACAGAAGATATAGAGGATCTCTTTTCATTGGCACTGTATTATTATTCCAGAACCCCTGCTTCTTTCAGAAAGGTATATTTTTAAGTTTAATCTTTCGAATCACATATACTCCAGACTATTCTAGCAAATACTCTAGATCACATTAATGCAATTTGAGATAGCAAATGAGGTTCACAGATGTTGGTATCCTTTGAAGGAGGGTTTGACAACCTTTAAAACTTATAAAGAAGCAAAATTCCTTCAACAGTTACAAAAATGATCATTTTGAGATTTGGCTAATTACTGACAGGAAATGTACATACTCTTTAAGCAATGCATAACATTGCTTGAACCTGATAATGAATTTCACTGTGGGTAAGAAAGGAGATGGGAGAAATGATTTTAAACAAGAAAATAATGTTCCTGAAGTATTTCTATGTATAATTTAAAGAAACACTTCTTTGTAGAAACGGGTAATATAGTGGGTCAACACACTGCGAGATGAATCTAGCCCAGATCGATGAGTCTCTTGTAACTGTCTCTCAAGGGTAATATGTTTAGAAATTAAATGTCACATTGTTGAACAAGAGCGTGCTGTTCTGAAGTTCGGGTAAGGTGCACCTGACTTGATAGCAAATCGGAGGAGAGTGTTTCCGTTCCTTTCACCCTTATGATTGCAGAAGGAGAAAAAACTTCAAGTTTTCTCCAGTGCTATTCAACATTACTGTTGAAAATTATCAGAGAAGAGAGAGAGAGACACACACACACAAAAAGACCATTTGAAGTCTGCCAGAAATTATCAAACTCTTGTGTTTCTGTGAAATAAATTATATTTGTCAGTGCACGAATGGAAATGTTCTGTGATGCTCAATGTTCTGGGAGCTGAACCAGTTCAAACCCTGTTACCATCACATCACCAACATCGTATTGTTTCCAGTTCGACTGCAAATGCTTTTATGTAGTAGCAAACTTTTTCTCCTGACACATTGCTGTATACGATGAACTTTCTTGACTGTTGGCATTGCTCTGTGCAGGATAACCAGAACCTGTTTGGGAGTAGTCTACTGGGCCTGAAGGATGACGAGATGGATCTGAGTCAAGCTCTGTGCCTGCCAGTTTCAGTATCAGAAATCCTACAGGCAAATCAACAACTAGGGGTAAGATGTGATGTGAAATGCAAGTTAATAATATTAAGAATTCTTGCATTTCGTATAGCGCCTTTCACGTCGGGAGGCTGTTCCAAATCGCTTTACAGGAGCTGCTGTGAAGTGGAGAGATTGTGTGTCTTTGTGAGTGAATGTTGTTGTATTCTTTTTAATCCCTTTTTTGCATTTTGTTGCCCTTAAAACCTAAGCAAATGTGGCTGAGCCTACCTGGGTGGAAGGAATGGGCCTATCGGAACTCGATCTGTATAGCTGATTACATTAAAAATGTGATTCTAACTGAATAGAAGTAGGAGAATATCTAATTGTGTTCTTGTGGGCCCTAGCTGTTTCAACGTGACATATGGTGATTATAAGGCAATTTAAAGATTGGTTTGATATTAATCTTGAGAGTAGTGTTGCAGTTGGATGGATTGTCGTGGAATTACTGCACCAGTGTTATGAAGGCTAACTAAAATGGTGTAGAAATAGTGTCACGGCATGGAAGGTAGGTTGTGGTGTTTTAGCTGATTCATATTTCAGAAGGTAGTGTTCAATCACATTTTGCACCGCAATATTTTGCAATCATTTTGAGCATTTTATTTTCTTGCAAACTCCTCACTCAGTTTTTTTTTAAAAATTTTGCAGGATGGAGTTCGGTTTTTTGTCGTAGATTGCCGACCTGCAGAGCAGTACAACGCTGGACACCTTGCCACAGCTTTTCACTTGGATTCAGACTTGGTAAAAAAAAAATTTAAGAAAGGAAGAAATTAGTACAACTGGATATACTATATATGAAATGAGTTTTGATGTTCTGGGTTTTACTGTAAATGTCTCCCACTATGGGGTACTTGTCTGGTAAAGTTCCAGCACACTTCACATAAAAATGTAACCAGGCTTCTTAAATTCAAAATCAACAAGCCTCAAGCAGGGAGAATTAGTTATTTGAGATATTTTCTCAGCAAAAATGTTTATTGGGATCATTTTGTTTAATCCACCCCGTTGAGTGGCCCGGTTTACTACCTATAAGCTTTTCAAGTGAAAACTAAACTAAAATCCTAAACTTACGCCTTGTAAACTATGTGTCTGACTGGGAGCGATTTTCTTTCTATTTCCTGCAGATGCTTCAAAACCCTGCAGAGTTTGCTCTTTCGGTTAAATCGCTGTTAGAAGCACAGAAACAATCCATCGAGTCAGGATCCATTGCAAGCGGTGAACACCTGTGCTTCATGGGCAGTGGCCGAGAGGAGGAGGACATGTACATGAATATGGTACTGGCTCACTTTCTTCAGGTGAGTTGTAGTAATAATAATAATAATACTTGCATTTTATAAAGTGCCTTATGTCTTTGTGACGCCTCAAAGCCCTTCACAGACTATACTGTAAAGTGAATTGACTGTATATTTTGTAGCTGAAACGTGGCAGGCAATTGCTCACAGCAGTGACCCACAAACAGTCGGGGATTGAGTGACCAATTTATTATTTTTTTGTGAAGAGATTATTAACCCCATAAAAACAATCCGCCAAACTACCAACAACCTGGTTCCTACTTACTGCTAGGTAAACAGCCGTATGGTGTAAGGAAACCTTTCTGACACTCTATCCTGCGTGGAGGGTGCTATAAAGTGCAAGTTATTATTGTTGTTTCGTCCTGCCTGGAATCAAACTCGGGTCTCTTGCTTGCAAGACGAGTGCTCTAAACACTGAGCTACAGGACTCCTGTAGCTGAATAATGCGGCGTCAATTGGAGAAAATGATTTTTGTTGGAAGTCAAACCTGACCTCTGGGAACAGAGGTCATCATGTAATCTAGTGACGACATTAATAAATTGCTTAATAAATGCTGGCTGCATATGATCATTCTGTTTGATTAAAGTTTGAAGAAAACAAAGCTTGACACAACTGAGCACATGACTGCATGGTTGTGATCTGATCAGTTTGTCTGATTCGGAAGCATTCTTGTCTCTGCGTCAGAAGGTTGGGAGTTTAAACCCCAGTGTCAGAACTCAGGCTCTTAAACTGAGTTGACACTGCAGTGCATTGCTGAGTTGCTCTATTTCAAACAAGACAAACACTGAGCCTTCCTGCACTTTTTCAGGTGGCTGTTAAATCCAGGTACCCAGCCCATCGACCCACCTGGATAATGAGTGATTCACATTGTTACTGTTTGTGGGTCTACGTTGGTGCACAAATGCTTCTGCATTTTCCTTTTTTTTAAACAAAAGCACTGTTAGACAATTGTGAAGAGTTTTTAAGATGTTTCAACATAAACGCAAGATGTTCTTTCCATTACAATGCTTCCTGTTTAGCAACTAGACTTGCTGTGATGTCACCTATTCCAAGATTTGCAAGGGGTGGTGGTGGTAATAATAATAATAATGCGCTCATTTGATATAACACCTTATCGTGTCGTTGAGACTTCTCAAAAGTGCTTCACAGAGTAAACTGTAAAGTGGATTGAGTGAAATGATTTGGAATGATTTTGTATATTTTAACATCAGTTTAACATGATGCATTCTAAGAATCATGTAATTGATGTATTCCACTCATGAGCAAAAACAGATGTACTTACCAGTGTTATCTTTGTAACGTAGGTAGCTCTAAGTTGGAATTCTTACTGGTTCTTTCTTCAAGCTAGATGTTGAAGGCCAATGATTAATGAATACTTTGTTTTTTAATATGTTCTAGAAAAGCAAAGAATATGTTAGTATTGCCAGAGGGGGCTTTATGGGTAAGTTCTTCAAGTCTTATGCGTTACTTAATGAAATAATCCTTGCATTTGATTTAGCATCTTATCACATCGTTGAGATGTCTCAAAGCACTTCTCAGGATATACTGTAAAGTGAATTGACTGTATTTTTACTTGTGTGCACTCTTATAAACTACATCCCTGAACAAATCTATTTTACTGAAGTATTGCTGCAATCAGTCATACAGCTCTCCTTAAAAGCGCATGTTCCTGATCCATAGTAGGATTTACTTATTGAAAGTGCCCAAATATTACAATTTTTGATGCATTACTTAAGACTGCAAATGTTTAACTCTTTGAACACTAGAGCTGCATTTAATATATGCAATTGGTTTTCATAGCACTGACTGTTCATTCCAATTTATGCATGTGCCTTGTCCTTTCCAATTAATGTTCAAGCCCCTGGATAAAGTGAACCAGGTGCTTGAAAGGTTAATTAAAGCTGTAGATACCTGAAATATTACAATCATAATAATTGTGTAGTCAGTGTCTTTAAGATAATACACCGGTCACTGTAGTGTCTTTGTTAATCTATACATTTCCGGTCAGGTTTGTGTAAGTGTTTTTTGGTCTTCAGTATGTTCACTCCTACAGCAGCCATCCGATCAGATGTATTCTACATTGCCCAGTGGTACTCTGATCCATATCAGTTGCCAGCATTTTGAGTGGTTGGTTCTTGGCCCTCCCGAGACCCAACTTTATTTCACTGCTTCAAAATCCACACGTTTTCTGACGGAGCCTTCCCTCAATGTTTTCAGGAAAGAATTGTGTAGTGTGGGTAGGAGGGATTATATAGATCTTTAAGATCTGTTGTGAAAAGCTAACTATCAACCATTTAGGATATTTCAAAATCCGGGAATGCCTTGCGTATATTATGTTCTAGATGGATAACCAGTAATTTGTTAAAGTAATTACTGTTGAAAAGGCATATCTTTTTAAAGTGACACTGGTACTGAGTATTCTGACCCTCTTCCTTCTTCCACTCCTCCCTTCAAAAAAAACCCCAGACTGTTTCAAATGTACAGTGGTCCTATTATAATTGTGCCTTCTCCATAGTGACGTCACCTCTCGCAACATTGTGTTTGAGAGCCTTCCTAAATCAGGACAGATGTTTTTGAATTTGAACTAGTGTACTAACCACACTACAGTTCAGTACAGTACTGGATCAATATGCTACATGGCCCACTATTGACCACAGAGTACTTCTTCACTTGGTTATTGACATCTATCTGGTTTTAATTATTTCTTGATCCTCTCTATTTTACGCTGAAATATATAGATTTTGTACTGAAAACTACTGTTCTCAAGTTAGGATTTGATGCCTACCAATCCCAGTGCCCAAACTGCAATATTAACCATTAATTAAACGTAAATCCCTCCTCTCATCCCTTATGGCTTTCCTTTGCTGTAGAACATTAAAAATTGTTCAAAACATTGTGGGAAGGTTCTGATACATTTGGTGTCCTTGGTTGCTGTTGGAAGCTGCCCCATTTCTTTTCCCAGAAAAAACTCTTTCTCCAAACCATTTCATCGTAAAGTTGTGTTCGTTTATTTATCATGAGCATCAAGACTACCCCCAGAACAACCTTTTTCATTTTCATAAGTATTACTGCAATAAAGTATGAAAAGTGGTGCTGCATTTATAAATAGTGCACACTAACTGGTTGCAAGACATAACTGATCAGGTTATGCATTATTCACTAATTATGCACCATTTTTGTACAATATTGCTATTATATAATGCCTCATTTTAATCCATTCCAAATATATTTTTTCCTTTAGTCATTTTACAATGTGGCTATTTTCTGCTTAATTTTCTACAAATTTAATTTATACAAATTGATTGTGGCATTATATAATTTTCAGACAGCATAACCTTGGATATATTAAAATAATACTAATATTAGTTTACACTGTACATCCACTTAGGCTTTCAGTTATCTGAGCAGCTGATTAGCCAACCTTTTGCTCCAGATATTTTAGTTGTACTTAAGACAGCAGCAGAGCTATTAAAACATAATCTGGTTGAATATTTAACAAAATCAGTTGTTACTGGGCATTTGCTCAATAAACACTGTTGACATCCTCTTTCACGCTGGACTAAAGTGAAACCAAGCCAGCTACTGTCTTACGTTGCATGTTTTTGTGTCCTCTAAACTGAGAGCTGCAACCGCTGTGACATGTAGATTTAACCAAATCAGGAGCAGTTTTGTGGCCTAAATTCAGTATGAGTTAATAGTGTCTTACTGTAGAATCTACCTCATCAGTGAAGCCATCATCACAGGTACTTGTGTGTTCACTTGAATCAGTTTCACAGCGTCACATATTTCTGACTTGAAAGGCGCTATGTAAATGTAATTTGTTGGAAAGGGAATTAATGAGTATAAACTCAACGGCTTTCCACTGCCCAGTTTTAGTATTAAATAAAAGACCACAAATAAAACATCAGTAAGTGTGGAGATTATATCTACAGCCCAGTATATTCTCACTTCCTTAAGAGTAAGGCAATATGAGCTGCAGTTGCCCTGTAATCACTTAGGGTATAATGTATTTTCTCCCAAAAGCTGAGAGGCTTATCATAATTCCTTTTTGATATGGGGTATCTATACTTGGAGTAGTCAATACTGAGATGCAGACCTACAGTTCCAGTCATTATTGATTTAGCTAGAACTGAGAACAGAAAGGTTATTAATAATGGTTAAGCAGGTCAGCTTAAGCTTCTGAAGAGAGGGTAGAGATATTAAACAAAGAATTCAGATTGAATCAATGGCATATTGGGAGACTAATGAGCATTATCAATCAGTGCCTTGGAATGATCTGTTTTCTGTTTATTTCAAGAAAAGGAGTTTGATGTCTTTAGAAGTTAGGATAGTAGAGCATTGTGTTGCAAAGGGATAATGTCATTAAATTCATATTTCTGGAAATGTCCAATTCTTAGACTCGTAAATGTTTTGCATTTATTTTGAGACTGTAAATGTTATTTTCTATGGGTTAATACAGTAGAACAACAGCATTTTAAGTAGCGTAACGTTCCTGCTGAATCCATAAGGTTGTCTTAGTTCATAAAGCTTCCGTCTGTTGCATGATCCATAATGCTGTATACAATAGATTGCTTAATCCATAACACTGCTATGCACTGCAACGGAACGTTAACGGTCACTTGCTTGACTTTCAGAACAGTAACGGATATGGATCGATTTTGTTTGAAACTTTGATTCTGTTTGATATATAAAATATTGACTGCATTAAAATTGCTGTGCTTATTATGATCTTAATAAAGAACCCAATTTCATTTGAACGAGCTATTTAATTGTATGACCACTTACAATGACGAGGCAATACTAATATATAATATGCGATGCTAAAGGTAATCCAGATATCTGCTTACAAAAGACCTAACCAGCAATGAAGTGCTGAGAAAATGCTGTATAACTGTTTAATTTGACTAAAATGTACTAAGTTTAAAGGTTGTTCTGGTGAACAGACCTCTCAGTGTTATTTATTAAGATTCAAAGGTTTGGTTGATCTTTGTATCTGTAAGCTGCCCTGTCTTGCAGCATTGCAGCAGCACCTTGTAGACATAAATGTAGATGGGCCAGAAAATGGCTACGGTCACTGGATTGTTAGCACGTCTGGATCTCGTGGAAGTATCTCATCTTGTGCTGATGTGAGTATGCTTTCCTTATTTCTAGCAGTAAGTACTGTAGCAGACCATTGCTTAAGAATTTACAACAGAGTAAATCTGCATTTAAATGAACAATATTTTGAATTCTCTCCACACTATTCAGGACTAGTATTCATTTGGTACTTTAGCCCCTGAGGTACTTGCTCACTCACACTGGGGGATGGCAGCTCTCCAGTACTATACAGTGGCCAGATTGCCAATAATAATAATCATAATGCATTTGATATAACACCTTATCACATCTTTGAGACATCTCAAAGTGCTTCAATGGGTGTAATGGAGCTTTTCATCTGTCAAACATAACCCACTTCTCCCCTGATGTCCACAGGTGTGCACTTTGTAGTAAGGGTCCCTGGATAGAAAACCAGACAGGAATCTTGACACTAACCACCCCCAACTCTTTCCCCCCCCCTCCCACTCACTCCCTATCTACTATCTACTCTCGTCAGAAGCCACTGATGTTCATTGGACTGCTCTGTTGCTGCACTTCTCAGATTAGCATGTCACAGGGATTGAACCCAGAGGCCGTTCTATTCCAAACGGCTCATCACCCTGTGTGGCATTTACCAATCGGGAGATTGTCATCCAACTGAGTCTTACTCACCATTATACCAAAACCACAAGTTTTAAATATTTTTACACTTCATTAGTACATTACTGCAATAACCAAATAAGATGTTTCTAAACTCCTTCCAATCTGAAACATGACTGTTGTGAATAGACAATGCTATTTAACATCTGTGTAAGACGATCGCTGGGGAACACTATTCTAGAAGTTTTGTGGAATCTACAGATATGTAAAGTACCAATAGATCATTAGAGGTCTAACCACTGAAATAACCGTAACAATATTCTTAAAGTGTTTTCAAGAGTATTAACACTCTCTATACCTCTTTCTCATGGGGTTTGCCTTGGCTGCAGGGCGAGTCTCCAAACGGTTCAGGTGATGGAAGAGGAGTGAAGTCGCTGGTCAACAAAATGACTTTTGCCTTCAAGTCCAAATCTGTGAATGTGAAAGAGAAAGTGATCAGTTTCATCGAAAACACTTCTGCACCAGTTGAAAGGTAATGTGGGAAGGCTTCAAAGTACCTGTGTCAATTTATATTGACTTGGTGGTCTTGTGATCATGGAATCTAATTAAAAGTAAAGGACAGTTTCTCCCAGCAGGAGTGAAATTGTTTGGGTTCCCCATATTAAAGCAGTAGGGAATAGTGGAATGAAAATGCACTATTATGTATCGAGCCCCTTTCTTTTTCAGGATTTTAATGTACTTTCAACAACATCTTGAACCTATTTCCAAAACATCCAGTGAAGGACAAGTTAATAATGAATGACCTTTTTGGAATTTTTCTTTTAAATGCAGAAATAGTAGTACTTTAATTCGTTCATATTTGACTTCTTTCCCACCCCACCCCCATTCTCTTGTAGATTTATTCTTGTTTAAAATCACTTCTCATGTTTTTTTTAAATGTATTGCTTTTGTTCTGCTTCTATTACCAATTATTGTAGAATGACTTTCCAGCTTCCTTGGCCAGAAAAAGTAACCCTAGATAGGTAAGATGGTGCTAATCGGAGCTTGCCAACTTCTGCTCTATGTTCCTTAGCATGATGCACAAATACTTCTGGAACTTACTTTCCTGCAGCATTCTCAGCCGTCTTTAAATGTCTACATGTTCTAGTTTCTCGAAATCCAAGCACCACAGTTTGCTACAGAATAGAACTGCAGAGAGACTGACTGTAGTACATTTAGCTTCATTTCACTATCTGGGGTCTTAACACTTCTTCAAGATGTGCAGTTTACAATTTGAATGTCATATGTTTTGTAATTTGGAAATTAAAATCGTTTTAGCAATGCCACATTTACAAAGATAGTGCTATTTTACTCAAGTCTCGCAGGATATAAAGCAATCATAGGTTATTAGTTATTTCCTACTTTGAGTTTTCTATACCGCACTTCAGATATTGGAAGGTCAAAGAAGAAAATCTGTGCAACGGCTTTGTCAGGCTGTTTGCATGTTTCATTGGCTGCATTGTTTGAACTCCAAACTTTGCAAAAGATGCTTGAATTAGCATTGGGGGAAATCTAAATATTTTAGTTTGTAGGTAAAGGAACCTTATAGTCAAGAACATTCTCATAGAAATACAAGTGTAGTGATGGGCATCATCCAGTTGAATGAATATTTGGCAAGATCGAACTATATTGGTCTCCATCCAGCCAGTTTACATTCTTTAAATCTGTTAACTCACCTCCACCTTTTCATCTAGGTGAAAGATGTTAAAATGAGTTTGAGACTGAAGGTGGTGAGCCGACCACTTCAAGTGAACATAAATTGAATTGTAATTATTCTCAAACAATTCTAACCACCCAAAATGTGAATAAAGTGATCTTAAAAACAACAGAGGCTTGCAAATGGCACTAAGAGATTCATCATTGGTGAATGATTCTTGAATTCTGATCAAACATTTGAGTGATTTGGAACTTTATCCCTCGTCTAACTTTCTGCTTTTTGAATACCTCTATTTAGTGTAAAAGGAGTGGGGATTAGTTTGTACTTTAAATCGAATGTAGATTTGTACTGCTGTTTTACTCCCTGTAGGCTTGACTGCATTTAAATCTCCTGGTTTAACTAATGCACATGGGTTCAAGCTTAGGTTACAATGTCATTTGTACAATTGTACTAAAGTATTTTTGGACAGCAGTGAAAATAAAACTCACCTAAATTTAATCCATAAAATGCAGTGTTAATTGCTGTGCTCATTTTAATGAAAGATCAGGCTTTAGTTACAATGATCAAAAATGTCAAAGGTCTTCTGCTATATTCACTGAAAGCTGCTTTATAACATTCACTAAGCCTCACTAATGCAAATGCTTGAGTGTGTTGTCCACTGTTAACACAATGGGTGTTTATGTACTGCGTAAACTTAATCCAAAGCAACTGCCTGTATTATGTGGTCTGGCTTTCAAAAATGAATTCCTTACCAATGGAAATGCTATGACTCAAGACTTTAAAACTTAACCTGCCTATGGACTGTTTTAAAATGTGTGTAATGCTGTCTGTTTATTTCAGTTTTGCCCCCAAATTAAAATGAAAAACACTTGCAATGTCCCAATGTGCTACGGCTTCAGAAGGCATAGACATTGAATAAACTCTTGACTTGGGTGCCTAGTGCAGAACGGCTACAGTTGCGGTTTATGTAATTCATCTGTGTGTTGAACACACAGCTGCACTGGGATTATCATACCAATATTCCACCTCATTCCCATTTATGCCTGAACTCCCTCACACACCCTGTCAATATCATCTTCAAATGTGAACCGTTTGACTAGACCACTGATTTCTTACCATGATTAAGTGTCCCAGTGCACCCATGCATGGCACGTGATAGCTTAACAGTACTATACAGTACTGTATAGGTGATGTTTCACCCACAAAATATACAGTCAATTCACTTTACAGAATATTCTGTGAAGCGCTTTGAGACATCTCGAACACGTGATAAGGTGCTATATCAAATGCAAGGATTATTATGTTAGTGCCCTACCTACATCCCTAGTAAAAAAGCAACCAGCTCAGCACAAATCAGAGTTCAAACTTTGGCACCTCCCTGGTCTGATGGCTCAATAATTTAAGCACTAAACTATTGGGCACAGCTTAGTAAGATGGTTTTTTATTTTAATCAAGCTGTGGCTGAAGCAGATATCAATGTAGTTCAGAAACCATATGAGGGAGAAGGGAATAGAGTAAGGGGAATAGGAGGGTTGCAGCTTGTGTGGTGTATAAACACCAGTATGAACTTGTTGGGCTGAATGGTCTGTTTCTGTGCTGTTTATATAACAAAGTATATTTTCCTCAACTCAGGCATGTGAGTAGCAGTGACCGGGTGGGAAAACCCTATCGTGGAGTTAAGCCTGTCTTCAGTATTGGAGATGAAGAAGAATACGATACAGGTACTTGAGTACATAACTGTAATACCAGACCTCGATTTAGACTATTGCATTAGACATTCACCATAAGGTTGCACGCCCCAGCACCTCCCTACCTCCCCAAGCTGCTCACACCCCCACTGCTCTGCCCACCGCCTTTGCTCAGCTGGCATGGGTGCGCTGCGCCTCCTTCATCCCCTCTGTTGCACACTTGCTGGTCATGCTGTTGCATAATTGGCGCCGTGTTTTCAGCCACGATGCCCTGAACCTTTGGAACTCCCTGCCTCAATCTCAATCTTGCCCCTCTTTGCCCTTCTTCAAATCATACCTGAAGACTTTCCTTTCTATCCGTGCCTTCAATCACCTCCCCCCCCCCCCCCCCCGACTTTTCTAGTTCGATATCAAGCCACACACTATGCTTGTACACTACTCGCTTGAGGGCAATGTTTCAGAGCACATCTAATATTTGTCTGAACTTGTCCCACTTCTTCTCTGGCTTCGCCTTCAAAACGCACCTTAATTTCTTCTTTTGGCCTTGCTTTCTGCCACCTACTTTCTTTCCCCTGCTTCCCGGGCTTCCACTCAAGCACTTTGAGCCATTCTCTCAACATCAATGACCTATCAGGGATGGCCAACTTGAATGCAGCGTCTCGCAAGTTGAGCATCCTTGAACTATATAAATGTAAATTGTTGAATAAATATGGTTTAAATGTCTTTTCCAATCATTTTCTAGGCATTCAACACAGATTTACCATTAAACAGCATTTTTGCACGAGACTGAAGCTATATATTTAGTTCAGTAAACAAGAAGTATTCATTGTTAGGTTTCCCTGCTTCTTTCTTAAGCAGATGAGATTGACAGTTCATCCATGTCTGATGACGATCGCAAAGAGATGGTGAACATTCTGACATGGGTGAACAAGCCTGACGTTAAACACCACTTTCCGTGCAATGAGGTAAAGGAGACTGGTCACATGTTCCCAAGGTATGGAATAATCAAGTTACTCATTCAGTTGTACTCATGTGTTCTTAAATGGTAAATTAGAAACGTTCAATATGGTTTCATTTCATGATGTTACCTTTTTTTAAAAAAAAATTGCCTTTACTCAAATTAATTTGGATGTTCTCCATTATAATTTCTTCCTTGATGGTTTGGTGGGGACAAACTTAATGTCCTGGCCATAAGGTCCAAGCACTCTGAGATGCTACCCAGGGTGGAGGGTGCTATATAAGTGCAAGTTATTGCTACGATTAACTGCTAGCATTACAATTTTACCTCAAGAGAACTCCAGAGGTCTGACAAGCTTTACAGCCATCGTTTTAAAACAAAACTCTGCAGAATTTTGGAAAATTCTTAATCACTTCACCAGACTCCCTAGTTCCTCCGACACAAACTGCAAACCGTCCAGAAATCATTCCTGTTCCTCCTGCACCAGGCTCCACAAGCCCATCCTTGCTCAGCTCTACCAACTCCTCAGTTTCCATCAGATTGAATTCAGGATCCTCATTTTCACTGTCAAATAGCTCTGTGACTTTGCTCCATCTTACCTTGGACCTCCTGAGACTTGACAGCCCCAGCCTCTCCCTCTGCCCAGCAAACACCAGCATGTTTGCCCCTTGTCCCCTCCGCTCCACCATCGGCGGCCGTGCCTTCAGCCACTACGCCACGAAACTTTGGAACTCTCTGCCTCGCCCCCTCCCTCCCCACTTTCAAATCCTGCTTAAACACCTTCCTTTTCGATCGTGCTGACGGTCAACTCCTCCCCACCCTCTCCCCATGGCTCAGAGTCAGACTCCACCATTGTCAAGAGCTACAGGACGCTACCCCTCGTGAAGGGCGCTACATAAATGCAAGTTGTCGTTGTATGTTTCACGCCCGTACCCATTCCACCCCACCATCTGTGCAGGAAGCCTTCAGCTGTTCTGTCTTTGCTATTCAGAACTCCATCTTAGAGTTGTTCTGTTTTTCCCCTCTCTCTCCTGCCAATCATTACCCACGTCCATTCCCTTACAATATAAAATGATGTAGATCAGAGATTGAAAAATGAATTCGCTGTGGACTGGGTTAAGCTAGC